GGGTCTGGTGGCACCAAGGGCTTGTGAGATGGGGAGACTGACATCCCAAGTTCCTTGAACACTCTGGGTCCCAAAGACCTTCCACTGTGTCAGCGCTTGCCTGGCATTTCAGCAGCACCTTTGAATCCCACATTCTGACTGAGTTTCCACAGAGCTGTTCTCAGAGGAGGGAACACAACAACATAATGGCAATACTGGTCATGCCCTCATAAGTGCAAGCTAACTGGGAAGGTAGAATACCATTTGTAGTTTTACTGACTGACTTCACCAAGGTGACAGAAAGTTTTGTCATGAGGAAAAACTGAAAGAAGAAAAATTACAATCGACTTCATCTATCTTTAGAACATTGACAGGCATCCGAGGGGTCAACACTGTCCCATGTCACTTTGGGTCCAACTCTTCCCTCAGCCACCTTCCCCCACAGACTCCGGACCCCAGCCTTCTCCCCTTATTGAAATCCATCTACCTCTCTTCACATTCTTCTTGGTTATTTCTCACAGGCTGATGCTGATTCACTGCTCTAGTTCTGTTCAGTGCCCCTTCCATTAACTCTCCCCATAGCTCTGTGAGCTGGGCATGATGACTGCCCTTCAGAGGTGAGAGGAACACGGGGCGGGTAAGCCACTTGCTGGGTCACGGGGTTGCATGGGACCCTGACCACTGGGCCACTGTGGGGTCTTCACCCTTATGGTGCCCTGGCCAGGCTGTGTCCCCAGTGTCTGCCCCACAATGGCAGCGTCCCAGGTACCTACACAGAAGGACTGATAAGCACCTGAGGACCCACACACCCACTTCCTCATCCACAGGTCGCCATGCAGCCATGTGGGTCAGCTGTCCTGAGGGCAGTATGGCGTCTTTTCTGACTTGACCGCTTGTCTCAGTATCAGATATGTGCTCTGCCTCATTCCTCGTCCATTTCCACGATTTCATGACTGTGGGTTTGGCTTCTCAACGTCAATCTCACTGACCCAGCATGATCCTTCCACAGGTATGTATACCAAGCCAGATGATATTTTGGTTAAGCAAAGAGAAGCATATCTGTATAAGCCATGTCTCGCTGAAGCACTTATTAGATTTAAAAGGCAGTTTCCTCTTTCCTGAGAGGTAAATAGCTCCCTCTGCTTCCAACTCAGCTTCCATCCTGTGATTTCTTCCAAGCAACCTCACATGAAATAATTTTAAAACCGTCCTTGGAGGACTGGGGACGGCTATCCTGCCCTTCATCCAGTCTTAAATAACCCGTCCAGTTTGTAAAAGGGATAAGAATGTAAATGGCAAAGGATTACCCTGTCCATCAGAAAGTGTGAGGGAGAAAATAGTGCCCGGCAAAGCTAAGCTGTGTTATTCTCCCATTGAAAAGGCAGTGAAAAGAGCACGTGTCGATGATGAGATAACACCAAGTTACAAATCCCATTTCTCCTTTCATGGGACAACCAAAGACACAAAAGTACCTTAAAAAAAAAAAGAATGGCATCTGTTTCTTGAAAATTAATAGCTGATCTATTAAGCTTAAGCTAAGATCTGGTGAATCCTAGGGAATCCCAAATTATTAATTAATCTGATAATGGAAGCAAAGCCTTCAATATCTCTTCAGAAGAGAGGGGTGCATAATCTCCTAGTGCGCTGCACCTTGCACAAACAGTAAGAATTATTGACATAAAGCTGTATTATCTTCACCAGGTATCTCTTATCCAATTGAAGTAACAAAAGAAAAAGGAGGGAAATCAGCCAAGATAACACAACGACTTTTTTCTTTAACCCAAGGCTTATAGGAGGCAAATGTTCCAGTCTCAAAGGTATGGCCAGGGACTCAGTTACAAGAAATAAACTTTAATGCACTGCAAAACCCTACCACAATTATGACTTCCTTTTGTACTGAAAAGTTGCCAAGGGCTGAGAGGAAATGGCCCCATATGATACGTCTCCCTTCACCAGAAAGCTCTGAGGCTGTGTTGGGGACAATGGCCCCTTACTTTCATGTCACTCGAGGATGAGTCTGGAGGAGGGAACAGGTCCTAGGGATTGCCCAGCTCTGAAGGTTCTGAGACAGAGTGCACCCGCCTCTTTTTCTTGGGATTGACACCTGGGCTTTCATGCAGAAGAGTCCTTTCAGTGGCTAACGGACACCGTTCACAGCAGTCTTCTCACACCTTGTGGCCTCACAAGAGTGAGTCAGGGCCTCAGGAAACAACACAGAGGCTTCTCACAAGCACAGGGTGAGTGAAGATGCCACAGGCAAGCACACACAGACACACTATACTGACAACAAATCACACATACCCCATATAAACACAACACACACAACATAGTATACACACCACAGAATACACAACAAAGACCACATATACAACACACTACAGACCATGCATACCACATATACAATGTACTACACAGACCACATATACAACATACTATGTACCCCCCACAACACATATGCAGCATGCTGCACACAACACACATACCACATATACAACATATTACACGCACAACAAAACACACATACTATGTACACAGCATACTACGCACAACACACATGCCACATAAATGCAACATACAATGCACACCACATATACAACACACTACAAGCAGATAACACACATATCATATACAACACCCAACCACACACCATGTAACACAATAACACCACATATACAATATATAACACACAACACACATTATATACACAGTGCACAAACCACACAACCCAAAACACACATAATTCACATAATCCAAACATAATACAACACACACACACAAAGCAGTGTTTTCTAAGGAAGGGAGACATTTACAACTTAAGACATTTGAAAATGTATAACAAGTAAGAGGTTGTTATAATGGTTTGCACCACAAAGCAATCACATAGTTACCTGGTCCAGCTTTAATGGTGCAAAAGTGCATTCTCTGCAGCACATGTTATTCAGTACCTGCCTGTGCTTTTCTGTAGGGCATGGCAGTAAAGATATGCACGCCCATGGGGCGTTCCTAATTCTACAAACAGGCGTGTAAGGACACGGGTAAACATATGAAGCCTCATCTAAGCAAAGAGATGGGAAATGGGCATACTTGACCTCATTTTGTTAAAAAGTGCCTAGATAAAAAGGGAACCCATATTTTAGTGTAAGTTTGAAGTTTCAGCTACTACAACTCGCTGAGAAATTCATGTGGCAACAACATCTAGAGTTGAAAATAAACTTACATTTTAATTTGACTTTGATATGCAGTCTGTGGCTTGAGCTCAAAACACTTCTGCCCATGTGATATGCAACTATTTCTCATTGATGAAATGTGATGCCTCTGAGTAGCAATGGCTAGCACATGTCGGCAGATTGGACTGTGTTGAGAGGGCTGAGCAAAGGGAAGGCTTTGTGAATCCTCGGGAGAGATGGCTCCTGCTTGATGCACTTCAGAGAACTTCCTCCCTCCGCTGAGGATAATCACTGAAAAACTATGGACTTCTAGCCAGGCACGGTGGCTCATGCCTGTAATCCCAGCTCGTTGGGAGGCAGAAGCAAGAGGATTGCCTGAGCTCGGGGGTTTGAGACCAGCCTGAGCAACATGGCGAGACCTAGTCTCTACAAAAAAATTAAAAAATTAACCGGGCATGGTGGTGCACGCCTCTGGTTCCAGCTGCTTAAAAGGCTGTGGCAGAAGGATCGCCTGAGCCCAGCAGGTCGAGGCTATGGTAGCCGTGAGTGTGCCACTGCACCCCAGCCTGGGTGACAGAGTGAGACTCCAACTCAAAAAAAAAAAAAAGAAAAGAAAAATGATGTATTTCTTAACTAAGGAAGAACCTGAACATATGCACATTATAACCAAAAGCAACATTATAGATATATGCTTATCCACATGCACCTGTGCCACATACACACTCATATATGTACACATATACACCCATGGGCATGCACTTAGCCAGCCAGACACATCCTTCTCTTTGTTTTTGTTTTTGTTTTTTTGAGTCAGAGTCTCACTCTGTTACCCAGGCTGGAGTGCAGTGGCATGCTCATGGCCACTGCAGCTTGAACTGCTGGGGTCAGGTGATCCTTCTGCCTCAACCTTCCAAGTAGCTGGAGCCACAGCCATGTGCCACCATGTCCAGCTAATTTTTTGATTTATTGTAACGAGGTCTCACCATGTTGCCCAGGCTGGTCTCAAATCCCTGAGCTCAGGCAATCCTCTCGCCTCTGTCTCCCAAAGTGCTGGGATTATAGGTGTGAGCCACCGCACCTGGCCACATCCTTCTCTTTGAAACACAGCTTCCATGACTTGAAGAAAGTGCAAAACATGCACAAAAGCAAAGCCTCAAATGTCAGCTTCGTTAATGAGATGACCTGAGAAACAGGCCACACCGAGTCTATGATGTCTGAATCCTTAACCTCGTTAAATTCAGATCAAAATGAGAGTGAGAAAAGAACACTCTGTTTCTGTGAAGCGGGCTCCTCCCTCTGAAGGGTGACTCACGCCGTGATATTTGGGCCACTTTGATGTGAAACAGAATAAGCATTTGGAGTTCCAACAGGCATAAAGTCAGCAGGTAGCACAGTCACCAGTCGGAGTCCAGTCCCATACACGCTTGCCCTCAGTCCTGCGTGCAGGACATCCCCGGGAGAATCGCCAGTGCCCAGACCTTGCTGCCCATACGCCTGCCCTGGCCTCACCCGAAAGTGATTTTGCACTGCAGAGAGACTTCACCTGCCGGTGAGCAGACGGTACCAAAGGACTCAGGAAGGACTTGGTTTGGTTTGGTCTGATGCACTTCAGAGACCTTCCCTCAAGCTCTAGTGCCAAGCTCAGAAGCACTGGGGGGAGTCATGGGCTGGCCCCCCAGTTGCATTCCCGCACCTAGAATTCCAGGGATGCCTCCACTCCTTTTTCTAAATTTTGTTTTTGTTAAAGACATTTAAAAATAAAAGCCTTTCCCCACATCCATGGTCAGTGAGGCAGCTCCCTCCCCCAGCCTCCCAGGATTTCACCAGGAGAGAAAATCAGAGCTTCCTACTCACGCGTTGCTCGTCACAATGTAGCCATACTCCTCTTCCTCAGAAGACTTGACCTCCAACTGCAGGCCACTGCTGGGAGGTTCCCAGGCTCCTGCTGGGAGTCTCTGCTCCGCCGTCAAAACCCCCTGCACCCAGTTCTGGAGTTCGACCGCAGGCTCTGGATTTGGCTTCTTCTCCAACAGGTCTTTGGAGTAGGTCTGACTCTTGACATTTTCCACTCCGGCACTCTCCTCTTCTGAAGACAAGGAAGTCTCGGGGTGCTCTGATTTCTTCATCTCTGTTTTGAAGGGCTTTGCAAGGACAGGCACTCCAGCTGAGAGTCGGGACCCACGATCCTGCAGGAAGTCCCCGAGTTTGGTGCTCAGACGATGAACCTGGCAGGAAGGACACTCCATGAAGTGGCGTTTGCAGGAGAGGACTGTTGATGCACACAATCAAAGGGGTGTTTGCAACACCATCCTCCAAGAGGGATAACAGTGGGCAGCTTGAAATGGAAACACTGGGTGAAGGCAGTGTTTAGAGCCTGTATTTAGAATTATAACTGGATGAGAAATTTTCAGCTGAATGGAGGATGAGGGCATTGTGTGTCAGAATAACTTAAATGGCATTCTCCCTTCCTCTCCCCTCCCCCCCCCCCCACACGTGCAAAATCTTCCGGATTTTGTAGAGTCGGTATAGGTCTTTGGTATCAATATTTTAAAAATAACCAGTGCAATATCAAGACCCTACCTCATCCCTCTAGAAGCAATTAACACCTACACATAATTAATAATAATAATAATAAACTAACAATGATTTGCATTTACTGAGCCCTCACAATGTACCAAAGGCCTTGTACTAGATACTTTCTATGCATTAAAACAGTAAGTCTTATAAACCAAAAATAAAATTAGAAGCCTGTCAACCAACTGAACAGATTCCCCTCTGGGCCAAGGGTAACCTGGAAAACTAAATTCCAGGCTATGACAGAAGAGAAAATGCCTCCTTATACCTCCTCCCTTGTGAAGTTTTAGGCACAACTGACTAGCATTAATATTAAAATAGTGATCACATGACTGACAAAACAGACTCTGACAAGTTACCAAATCCCAACTAGACTCTGCCATAGCATCATGTGACAGATAGCAGACTCTAAAGGAAATAAAAATATTTTACCCCATAATGTGTTTCTTTGATGTATTTTTAAGTGACCCTGCAAAGCACTTGGGGGACTTTACATCTGTAGACAATCTCCTTTCCTAGGAAGAGTCTGACACCTTTTAAGACATTTACCACCTATACTCTCTAAAGCCTGCTACTTAGAGGCTTCATCTATATAACAAGAACTTTAGCTTCCACAAGCCCCCTTGCCTTAAGCAATTTTTTACTCATTTCAAATTACTTAGATAGAATTTAACTCTTTCAGCCAACAGATGTCACACCTTCCTAGGCCTAACCAAAGTAAACCTCATATGTATTGATTTACGGTTTTTGCCTGTAACTTCTTCTGTCTCCCAAAATTGTATATAACCAAGTTATAATTTAACCACTGTGGGTATGTGATCTCAGGACCTCTTAGAACTGTGCCACAGGCCTAGGCCACTAATATTTGGCTCAGAATAAACCACTTTAAATATTTTACAGGCTCTTTTGTCAACAATCTTCATGATAACCCTCTGAGTTGGGAAACATCATTAACCCCCATTCCATAGATGAGAAAATTAAGGCACAAAGAGACTGATCGTAAGTTATCACATCACAGGGTTATATAATTGCACAGTAGGAGATCTTTGGTCCTCACAGAGGCAGCACTCACTTATCCTGATATCCTTTTCCTGAACAAGAGTTTCCTTAGGACCATTTAATTAGCATCTGAACTGATGAACATCATAATTAAAACACTAGCACTGACTACATGTCAGACACTAAGTTACTTTGTGCAAATCATCTCACTTAATGATCGCCCCAACTCCATGAGTAAAGTGCTAGTTATATCTCTAATGTGTAGATTCTGGGGCTTACAGAGGTGAAACATTAAATAATTTGCACCAGATCACAGAGATAATGATTGGCAGATCCAGAATCTGAACTCAGGTCTAAGTGATGTCAAAGATATGGGCTCCACCCAGGGCTGTACTAGCCACTCACAGGCTCCCCATACCTGAGAAAGACAGGGCCACCCTGCTGTCCACAACAGACAGCCCATGGGCACTTTTGGGTCCACGTAATAGAAAAAGTCTTATGTCTACTCGATTTTTTTTAAAACCATGAAATTACATCTCCAATATTATATTAATACTTTACGACTCAATTTATCAAAACTTTTTTTTCTAGAAAATTAAGGAAGGACTATAAAGGAAATGATTCCCTTTTTGACAAAAGAAACATTATCTTTCCTTTAGTGTTAAAACAGTAGATTGCTGAAATAGTAGATTGTTGAAAACAATTGCTCAAATTTGGATCCTCAATGTCAATAATACATAGCATTTAAGTTACTAAACAGGATAGGGAAAAGAATGATATTCTCACAAATTACGTTTTATGTGAGAAGGAAAAGAAAGATGCTATTAAATAAATAAGCACTCAGAAAATATGACACAACTCACGTAAAGTACCCCACCATTTTTGAAGGACATTTAAAATGACAATTGCTGATATTTTCTTTCAGTACTTGTGAACAGGCATTGAACCACAAACCACAAGAGAATTGCTAACCAACAACTGGTTTTTTCCACTCCAAAAAACAGAGTTTCATAGAACCACACAATGTCATTGTCATTGCTTAGAAATTGATTTTCTGCATCCTTAAGACTTGGATTAATGGCCAACAGGAAAAAAACTGACAAGCTAACAAGTTTAACCGGAAAGACCCAGTGAGTGGATGTCACCTGTGCCTGTATCCTTCTCCGAACTGCCCCTGCAGCAACACCACCCAGCAGAGCCTCTGGCTGGCAAAACTGTCCTCTCTCTGCGCCATCCAGCACTTTAGCCATAAGTCACATGTTACTAATAAGCCCTTGAATTGTAGCCAAGACAGCTGGGGAACTGTACTTTTTATTTAACTTTAATGAATTTAAATTAACTTTAAATAGCCATATGTGGCTAGTGACTGCCATATTTGACAGCCCAGGTATAAATGAGCTGGATGCTGCGCATATCCCTGTATTAAATGAGCCTCAAAACTCAGCACGTAAAAGACCATATCAAGTCTGTAAGATAGGCATTCAGTACTACCATCCGACATCATGTTTTTATATCCCTGGATGGGGAAATTGTAAGAAATATTCGTGTTCTTCTTTGTATGAGTCATATTCTTCTTATTTATAACCATATTCTTCTTTCTATAACTTATACTTTGAAAATAGTTATTATTATATATCTAAATATACACAATTCTGTATGTACTCTTTTTTTTTTTTCAACTTTGGTGTTCTGAGGTTTTTTTCTATCCTTTTCTGGAAGAACAACAACAACAAAAACCTGTGCGTTTCATAAATGTTTCCATACCATGAACACAAAGATTACAATGCAACTCAACATTTAACGTAAATCAAACACCCAGAGATAGTCCCATCTTACCTCTGCATAAACTCTGTCATCATCATCCTGCACTTTGTTATCTGTAAAAGATATTAGTGTTATCAAAATGGTCAGCAAACATTTCACAGCACATAAAAAGAGAACCACATAGAATACTTTTATACAGAAGATGAGACATAATGACATTGATTTTGACCATAAAGTAAACCTTTTAGTTTATGATGGAGTACCAAAATAAACAAAATTTATAAAAAATTGTGTATTTATTTTTACATGTCTAAACTTGTCACCTTCGACGTACTCTCCATTTGATGCAATACACCTGAGATCCTTTTTATACTGTTCAAAACAATTTTTAAACTCAAATTTTGATGCTTTTTACTGCTTCTGCCGTGTTTTTGTTTCACCTCTTCCATATTGGCAAAATGTATTCCTTTGAGGATTTTTTTTCATCCAGGGAAACAAACAACAGCAAAAAAAACATTGCTCGAGATGAGATCAGGTGAATAGGGAAGGTGGGGCACGAGGGTGATGCTGGTTTTGGTCAAAAACTCCTGAACGCTCAGCACAGTGTGGGCAGGTGCATTGTCATGGTGGAAGAACAAGTCACTTGTTTGCCACACTTGGGATGTCTCTTCTGCAAATCATCTCTTAAAACAGTGTTAGCTGGTACACTGAAGCTGATGGGTTTCTAGAACACTTACCTAGGGGGGAGGCTTGATATTACAAGGGGACCCCCTCCAAAAGATAATTCTGGTTTTTTGTCCTCTCCCCATACAGCACAAAATAACATTCTATAAACTTCACAAAACAGGTAGATATGAAGTCAGCCACGAATGACCTGGCCAAGCTCCATGGACCTCTGCATTATCTTCAGTGTTAGTACTGAGAAAATGAGAAAATCCCTTGTACCTCGCAGAAGTTAATAGTCACAAAAAAGTAAAGTGAAGCCTCAACCCAAACCATCTCACAATTAAGATGACTTTGGAATCCACTGACTTAGGTTATTTTTCTTTGGCCCAAGTTTTTCTCTAAATAAATATCCTACTGGCAATGCCCAAATATGCGTGACTCATTGTTCCTTCCTTAAGCCCGAACAATGGCTCCTGTAGACAGCGATCACCCTGTGGTACCTTTCATAGCCCTCCTAACCCTAGTGCAGATATTGATCCTTTTCATCACCGGCTGACTTCCTAATACAAGGCCTATCATCTCTTCTGCACCCTACTCAACCGTCAAGTCATGTTTCCAGCTTCCAGCAAGCCGTCCTCCCAATCCACAGCAGAGAGGGGCATGTCTTCCATGTTTTTGTGTGCCTACTGTGTGTAAGGCAGTGAGTTAGGTGTTTTCATGCCACTCAAAGAACATGAAAAGCAAGTGGGCTATAGAGAAGGTCGAAGAAGACCTGGCCTGCTCACACAGCCTCTGCCAGGGGTAGGGCTGCCTTCATGAGTAAGGGCGTATAGGGGCGATTTCTGCTTCTCCCACCCTTAGCAGCTTCAGCGGGTGGATGAGTGCACCAAGCAGACATTTGAATGATTCCCTTTCACTTCACTATTCAAATATTTGACAAGATTCACTTGCAGGCAATCCAAACAAAAACACTTTCCATCACTCCAATTTTTTTCCTAAATCTGAACCTCAGTACGGAGGAATTAAACCTCCTCACAGAGAGCAATTTGCCATTCAACATAATTGCACTGGTAGGCTTAGTCTGTTAAGAAAGCTTGTAGAGGCAAAAGTTCAAACAGATAAAAATCATTAATACAAATCCCCATCTCCCCAGCAGAGAGAATACATGGCGGCTCTGTAAGCTGGTGGTCTCTCCACCTCTCTGCAGCCTCATCGTCCCTCATGGCTGACCCCAAATGTAGATGCCCCACGGAGTCGGAGGTCACCTCGCAAAGTGTCTCCACGGAAGGCTGCCTCAGGGTCTCCAGGGTCTCCTGCAGTTGTTCGCCTGGCGCTGTTTCCACCTCCACCGGGACCCACACGTTGCATCACATCAGCCATCAGGTCAGCCACTTCGTCAAGCTCCAGGGGGCTCAGACTCCCCGTGTCAGTTTGCTGCTTCCTCAGGTCCTTCAGGAAACTCTGAAGTAGAGCTCCTAGGGGGCACACACGCAAACACAAGGATGCTATGGATTGATGTAGCCTGAAGAAGCCAGGGCAACCCTGGTCACCGAGGATGTAACAGTTGGGCCTGAACCTTCCCAGGCAGCATCTCCCCAGAGCCAGGCGTGGATGGTGCTCAATAAAGAACTGTGATATTGAACTTGAATCTCAAATCACACCTGACCTTATGACTATGACCATAGTTCAGTGTCTTAAAAAGTCAAGCTAGAAGTGAAAAACCCATAGAGAAGAAGGACAAACTCATTAACCTGGTTAGGAAGATAGAAAGAATACCTTCTGGAAAATGACTGGAATGGCTAAGCCAGGAAAAGAAAAAGACAGTAATTCTATCACAGTCTTTAGGTTATAAAAGAATAAGAAGCTGTTTCCCTCTTACTTGGCAAAACAGGAGATAATATATGTCAAGGGACTGTGCTGCTGAGCACTTCCTGCCTGATATACCAGAACACCGCAAACATGAGCAGTCATCACCATCCCCACAATTTGTTTTTTGCCTACAGCTAGTAGAGAAAAGCCTCGGGTAAACTCTCTGGCCACCATGGTCAGTGCCTCCTGAAGATAACACAATGGTCCCAATTGCATGTGTGTCGTCTGAGAGTTCATCTGTAAGTAAACGTGAAACTCACAAGACACTCCCCAGGGAGATGATGCCAGACATAGTGTCCCTTACAAAGCCAGCCCACCAGATCCCTGCTGTAAGTGCAGCTAGCAATGAGGTTATAGAAATTATCGTGCTCTGGGTACAAGGGGACCATCTGTTCTGCTGGGGCTCAGGAATACAAGACACTGGGCCCACAGCAAATGGCCTATCCCCAGTCCCTAGAGTAAGCAAGCCTCTGCCTCTGGCCTTGGCAGGCAAGTCTCTAGCTGTTGTCAACCCAGCAAAGCAGGCAGGAGATAAGAATATCAAACATGTCCTCCTATGATGGCAAAGATGACTCCTGTTGATAACACTTGGTGGAAATATGCTATGTGAAAAGATGCCATTTTTCAAAAAGACCTTTAAAATCTAAGTCGTATTTGAAAATGAGGGGAAGTTCCCTCAGTCTCTTCATCTGTGTTCTTGAGACACTCTCCACACTTTTATACTCCACAGATCCTCCATGTCTCCTGACCCTTCTTCCCAACAATGTTGGTCAAGACCAGGCTGCTAGTTGTGAGAAAGATGGGGGACTCTGCAGGGAAGAAGTCTCTGGATACATCTGAATATACGCTAGGTTCAATGTCAAGATCTCGCTATTCACCTGTTTTTTGCTTGTTTATTCTTATTACTTTTACACTCAGAAAAAATACAATAGAAATACTGCCCTTTGGGAGGCTTCCCCACAGGGGTCTCCTTCTGGGCTCCCCCCACCCCCCAGTGATGGGGTGCTCTGTGAGCACCAAGGAATACAGCATACGAGGCATGTCTCAGGGGCTGGGCACTCCAGGGGATTCTAGGACAAGGGGAAGAGGAAAGGGAGCCGCATGCCCTTGGCCAGCACATGACTCCAGCTTGCTCTGTGTAGGCCATTATACATCAGGAGCATAATCTGGTGAATTTGCTTCCAACCACAGTGGAGTCCCTGGTAAAAAAAAATGCTGTTTTAGGACACACGGCTGTGGAACTGGACAAAGAGTTGAGATTTCAGAGTGGGGACAATGAGAGGTGCCTTGCACTCAATCCTGCCTTTTGTCCAGGCGGTTGTGGGACACAGTGTAAGGAGAGGAGCAAGACAGTCCCCCCACCCCAAACAGAGGTCAGGGTTCAGAGGTGGAGCTGAAGAGGTGACTGGAATTGAAGGACAGATGGAGCATTCTGGCGGGGTCCGGGGGGGAGGTGGATCTTTGCACAGGTTCACTGTGAGTGCTTGGCCAAGGAACACTGCCCATGTGGGTGAGCGGCTTGAGGCTCAGCAAGGAGGAGGAGCTACAGAATGAGTGTTGGGCAGAGGGCAGAGGGTCCAGGACACAGCACAGAGATGCAGGAATTCCCACACACTGTGCACAGAAACCTGGAGGAGCTCCTAGGGCATATAGTTGAAAACACAATGGCCGCATCTTCAAAGGAAAGGCCACCAAAATAGACCAACTCTAATATAATCTAAAACACAGCCTGATACATCAGAGGCTTGTCCTGGAGTTTTGTTTTTGTTTTTTTCTTCTTTATTCTTTACCCTGAGCAGAGATACCAGATTCAAACGGAGGTCCCTCCCCAGAGGCTGAGTCCCCTTTCCTGTCCCCCAGGCTGGAGTGCAGTGGCACAATCATGGCTTATACAGCCTCAACCTCTTGGGATCAGGCTATCCTTTTGCCTCAGCCTCCTGAGGAGCTGAGACTACAGGCACGTGCCACCATGCCCAGCTAATTTCTTTATTTTTTGTAGAGATGGGAGTCTTGCTGTGTTGCTCAGGCTGGTCTCAAAAACTCCTGGGCTTAGGGCAATCTTCCTGACTTGGCTTCCCAAAGTGCTGGGATTATAGGCATGAGCCATCATGCCCAGCCTGAATTTTAGTAACTCCATCCTCTTTCCTTTTGAGATAGCAGCCCTTCCAAAAAAGCAGAAAAGGGAAAAATAAGTTACTTCCTGATTCTTTAAAAGGCTTTTCCAGCAAAAGAATCAGGAAGTAACTTATTTTCCCTTTTTCTGCTTTTTCAGAAGGGCACCTCAGTCAAGAAAAGGGCAGTTCGCAGGGCTCGGTGGCTCAGCCTGCAATCCCAACACTTTGGGAGACTGAGGCGAGTAGAATGGAGCATTCTGGCGGGGGCCGGGGGGAGGTGGATCTTTGCACAGGTTCACTGTGAGTGCTTGGCCAAGGAACACTGCCCGTGTGGGTGAGCGGCTTGAGGCTCAGCAAGGAGGAGGAGCTACAGGATGAGTGCTGGGCCTGCAAGTTCAAGACCAGCCTGGGCAACTTGGCAAGACCTCATCTCTATAATAAAAATAAAAAATAGCAGGGTGTGGTAGCGCATGTCTGCAGTTCTGCCTACTCGGAAGGCTGAGGCGGAAGAATTGCCAGAGCCCAGCAAGTCGATGCTGGGGTGGCTGTGAGCATGCCACTGCACTCTAGCCTGGGTGAAGGAGTGAGACTCTAACTCAAAAACAAAAACAAAAACCAAAATAAAGGGCAGTCAATGATAAAGCGAGGAGATAAGGGCATCAGCAGAACCATTATAAACACAGGCATGAGGTGTGCACCCTCAACTCAGCGGGGAGTGGAAATCAAATGAAAATTCCGTAAAGGAAGAGTACAATGTTTGAAATTTTAAAACTCACTGATGGGCTTAACAGCAGTTTCTAATGAAAGAAGCACTAGTGAATTTGAAGACAGATAATGAAAATGATTGTTACGTGAGGATCAAAAACATCGAGCAGAACCTTGGCAATCATGGGGCAAGATCAAGCATGCCACACCATCACTGGAGAATGGGAGGGAAAGAGGAGTGAGAATGGAGCCAAATCAACCTGTTTCTTAAATCTGGCGAAGAATCTTTACTTAGAGATTCACGACAGTCAATAACATTGCAAGAAGAATAATACAAAGAGACCCACACAGTAGTATCTTGTAGTCAAACTACCAAAAGCCAGAGGTAAAGAAGATACCTAAAGAGCAGCCAGAGACAGAAAGGCGCCTTTCATATTCAGTCGTGGGAACAAGATAAAATAGGTGACTTCCCAAAAACATGGAGGCCACAAGACAAACCGAACATCTTAGAAGGATGACAAATTTGATAGGATGTTTCAATTACATATTTGGTGTCATATATATATGAATGACATATGTGAAGTGTTAAAAGAAAAACCATTCAATCCAGGAGTCTACATCCAGTGAAAATATCTTCCAAACATGAGTGAAAGAAAGACATTTTCCTACAGACAAAGCTAAGCTACAGGGTGGCCCATAGACTCGCATGAGGAGACATGTGAAGATGGTACACAAGCTGAAAAGAGATAGCACCAGATGGAAACCAGACCTGGGGAAGGGATGACAAGCTCCCAAATGGTAGATATTTGGGTTAGTAATAAAGAGGATCTACTTTTCTCCTCCTAATTTATCTAAAAGACAAACAATTGTAAGAGAGGAACAATTATTAGCATTTTACGGTAGAGTTTATACACAGATGTGGATGTGAACTATAGGGTATATGAACAAGAGTCGTCTTACTATGAAGTTTTTCCCCATTCCCACAAAGTGGTGGGAGACTTTTCAGAGTCCACTTCTTGCTAGGAAGCTAAGAATAATCAGGAGAATGCAGGCCTCATTCACCAGACTCTTGGAAATGGCTTTATCAGATGCATCACCAACTCCAGGATGCAGTCTGTACTGTCTCCCATGACTCTAAAGATTGGGCTGTGTGTGAAAGCAACCCAGCTCACTCAGCCCTCACGTCCTCTCTCCATGGAGATGGCTCCATCTGAGTTGGCACTGAGGCTGCAGGACCACACATGCCTCGTTCACAGTACAAAGCAGGACTGGAGACATGTGTTAGGCACTTTTACCTAATAACTGAAATTCATTCTTCACTGTAACAAAGAAACTTTTTTAAAAAGAGTTTTGTGGCTGGACGTGTTGGCTCAGCCTATAATCCCAGCACTTTGGGAGGCCGAAGCAAGAGGATTGCCTGAGCCCATGGGTTCAAGATCAGCCTGGGCAACTTGGTGAGACCTTGTCTCTACAATAAATCACAAAATCTAGCTGGATGTGGTGGCATGCATCTGTAGTTCCAGCTACTTGGAAGTCTGAGGCAGAAGGATCGCCTAAGTCCAGCAGGTTGAGACTGTGGGGGCCATGAGCGTGCCATTGTACTCCAGCAGTCTGGGCAACAAGAGTGAGACTCCAACTAAAAAAAAAAAAAAAAAAAAAAAAAAAAGAGTTTTCCTTCCATTTCTGAAGATCCCAAGACAAGTCCCTCTCTTGCACAGCAAGGATCCCTGAAATTCCCGGATATTCCTATTCAAAAAGACACATCCCATCAGCCTTCACTGAAGACT